CCAGAAGCCTTCACCACCAGCTGTGCTGACTGGGGTTTCTGGGAGTTGCAGTTCAAAAGCATCTGAGTAACAAAGGTTAAGAACCACTGTTCTAGGCAAGCAGGAGGTCTTTGGGAAGTTGTTGAAGGCAGCAAAGGAGACCTGGGGAAAGTGGGACTCTCCAATGGTTGATGGATTCTATTTCTCCCAGGCAAGCTGACCAATGCCGAGTATTATGGGAGCACTACTATATCAACATCTGGAGCAGAACCCCATGTCTGCAATAGGCAAAAATTGTATATATTTTTTAATTTTGGGTTGTTTAGGGGGATGCCTCTTCATTTTTTTATTTGTGTATCTGTCCTTTTGTTTTGCCCTAAAGGGAAAGCCTCTTTTGAGATTCCCACTCATGTTTTCCTTATTGGAGTTTTTCCCATTCATTTTTATTGGCACACCAAAAGACTTTAAAAAGGGCAGAGGCAAGGCAACAGAGAACCAGTCTACTCCAAAAGCAGTCAACAGTACATGAAAAAGAAAAATGATCAGATCTACAATATGCAGACACTAGTTTACATTATCATATACCATCAATCATCATTACTTGGCGCTGGCAGCCCAATTCCTTCCCTCTCCAATCTTTGGTGTGCTACACATGGTACTGCACCCCCATATATACTTTTAATAGAAAAATGCAGAGTACATTAACCAAATAATTTTTAAAAAATCATACAGAGAAACGAACACATAGGGGAAAAACAGTAAAATATTTTTTTAAACAAACACCCACCCATGGGGATACTTCCTCTCCCAAAAACCAAGAATAGCAAGCAAGCAAATAAAGGCAAAAAAAAATACAATCAAAGCCTCCTCCCAAACTAAAGCTATTAGAATATGGAGAGATTTCTTTTCAGCCTTCATGACTGCTATTGGATGAAAAATTTATCTGGTGATTTGCCAGACAAAGAGTGACATGGCACCAAAAGGTTACATGAAAGAGGAAACATGAAAGAAATATGAAACTTTTCTGTATTCTTCTTGCATAAGCATAGACTCCTTTGTGTGCAGAGGCAGTCTTTCTGCAATCTCTGACAGAACATAGACTACAGAAGGCTCTTTCATGTTCTCTCTCTTGTTTGGACAGGAAAGGCCCCTCTACTCTGCGAAGCTAGTAGAGCAGCGGTTATGAACAGTGTTGTATGAGAGGATTTTATCAACAGTTCAAAGTTCTTGAGAAAACATTTTATGTTGGTAGCTTTAATGTTTTAATTTCTTTACTAAAAAGAGGATGCAAGAAAAAAAAACCAGTTCATGAAAAAGAGATGGGTGGGAGACCATTGTTGGCACAAGGAGCAATATCTTATAGGAGAAAGTGTTTCTGAGTTCTAATAATCCTCTGACGACTTAACATTAGGGATGAGGGGAAATGCGTGGAAGGAATTTTGGAAATCTTTGACATGCTCTTGGCGACGACCTCAAGGCTTCGAGAGCTGAAGCTGCAGCACAAGGAATATATCTGTGTGAAGGCGCTGATCCTCCTCAATTCCAGTGAGTAGACCCTTCAGTTGTGTCAAGTTGTGCTGATTATTGTGACAAAAATGTGGGATGCTGGATGTAGAAGTACCAGATGACACAAGAGCCGTTCGTGCAAATGAAATGAAGACAGCCAAACTGCCTTTTCCCTTCCTTGTGTTATGAGGGTTCGATACACCTAGGTTGCTGTACCATATTATTCGGCACCTGTGTTTGATGTCTTCTTTAAGGTAACATTTAAAAGGGCTCTCGATAAAATAGTGTACGATCCACACATTTCTAATTTACTCTTTTGTTCATTCACAGATAGACGAGAAAGTTAGATTGCCTACTTTTTCTCCTATGCTGTTAACTGATAAGGAAGAAAATATATCTAAACTGGAAATACTGAAACTAAAAACACATAAGTTATAGGTAACAACAGAGCTGGCCTTATAGCTCAGTGAGTTGGAGCACCTGGCTGCACAGACAGGAATTGAGGGTTTGATTTCCCAATGTGCTACAGAACCAGGGACTGGAAGTTCAAAGCCCCACTGGTGCCTTGTAGGAGAAGAGCTAGCCTGTGTGATTTTGGCTAAGCTACGTAGTCCCCGTCAGTGGTTTAGATATCTGGCTGCAGAGCCAGAGGTTGGGAGTTTGATTCCCCACTTTGTCTCCTGGGAGAACAGCCAGCCTGTGTAACCTTGGGCAAGTTGCACAGTCCCAGACCAGCCCCAGAAGAAGGGAACAATAAACCACCTCTGAGTATTCTCTACCTGCCATAAATCAGAATTGACTTGGGTTGATTATTATTATTACATGATCTCAAAAGAAGAGAGTAATAAAACACTTCTGAGTACCCAGGAAGCCCTGGAAAAGATTGCCAAATGTCAGGATCAACTCGGCAAAATGTGATGAGACGATTTCACATAGTAACAGAAAGGATTTCTTTTCTTTTGAAACCTCCAGCTTTAAAATGTTCTTTGGTAAATTTTTATTACTTTCCCATCAAAACAGGCCTGGCAGGTCTCATGCGCGTCAAAGCTACAGAACAGTCAACAGGGCAATCCAGTTAAAATGAAAATATTCCTTCTCCGTTGTTCAGTAAAGTTGCAGGTTTACAGTTGTGCCACAAGGTCTAGTCTCAAATTAATGCATGGTTATTCACCAGAGTGTTCAGAGATTATGATAGCAGACTGTGGAGGCTTCTTCCTTGCTATTGGTCTTAATGTCTGTGTAAACCTTTTAATGTTTTTAATGGTTTGAAATGTTTTTGAAAATACTTAATTGTTTTTATATTGTTTTTATTGCTGTAGTCTGTCCTGAGGTCATAGGATATAGGATGGAATATATACTGTATATTCTAAATACAAAATGCTCTAAATAAAAAGAGAATGAAGTTACATTTCACTTGTAATGTAGCAGTACCTTTGTTTTTCTTATTGGGGGGGGGAAAAAAGGATTTTCCCCAAATGACCTCGACGCTCTGACTTAGGTTTGAATGCTGGGTCATTGTTTATGGTGTGTTACAGACACTTCCCCACACTCGCCTCAAATAAATGGAGCTTTCAGGAGCCAAACCAACCAGTCATGTGAATCTGAGTGCCATCTTAATTTTCTGGCTGAAGAACATGCTTTGCATTCTGGCTTCTATAGAACTGGGCCCCTCAAAGGTTACCTTGATCTTTGCACTGTTTGGGAACAACTTGATTCAGGTAGAAGCAGACCTGGGCAAAGTGCGGCCCTCCAGATGTTGCTGAACTACGAATCCCAACACTCCTCACAATTGGCTGTGTGGGCTAGGATTGCTGGGAGTTGCAGTTCAACAACACCTGAAGGGCCATATTTTGCCCAGGTCTGAGGTAGAGGGTCAGGGGAGAAGTCATGAAGGTTTACTGACCAGCTCTGAAGCATAATATGCAAAACAAACAAACAAACAAAATCAGTATATTTTACGAATATTTGCTGCGGTTCACAATTAGAGATGGGCATGACCTGGTTCATCCCAGTTCATAAAGTCGGTGCTGCTGCTCGCCTCCCCCATCCTCTCTGGCTCAGTCCACCCCTCACCAGACCCGGTGGGGTAGCTTCCGGCACCTCCTCAACTGATCTTCCAGTCCTGGCAAGAGCTCAGGCTTCTCTGCCCCGCCCTCTTGACTGATCTGCCACTCAGAGAAAAGGGCGGGGCAAAGAAGTCTGTGCTCTTGCTCATGACTGGGAGATCAGCTGAGGAGGTGGGAAAAAGCAAGTAAGCTGGTGAGTGGCTGATTGGCTGCGAAGGCAGAGGAGAGGAGCAGCAGCCCCTGTGCTGCCGCCTTCACGAACTGGAATGAATTGGGATGAACTGGTTTGTGCCCATCTCTATTCATGATTTAGTTTTGTTTTGAAAGGCATGGAGCTGCTGATTAAAATGTCCAGATCACAATGCATAGACCTGAGCAGTGCTTTGTATGCCTCACAGCTTTTGCTCTGTGTCTTTACGCTGAATAGGAATGATAAGAATTGAGCTGTGCTTTGTAAATTACACCTGGCCTTCACCACTGCTTTGGTTATGTCTGTCTCTGGTGACACCTGATGGGGTTAAAAATGGTCCTGGATCCGTTGAAGTTGCCCAGTCTGTTTAAAAAAAAAACAGTCTGGGATGAGGTGGTATGAGACAGCACCGAAAGTACAACCAATTCTATGGACCTTCAGGCTGTAGGTCCTGATTTTTTGGTGTTCTTTTTTGGGTAGACATGTTTCCACTCGCCCCCACTGCGGAAGAACCTGAAAGCAGCAGAAAGCTGAACCACCTGCTCAATTCTGTGACGGATGCTTTGGTGTGGGTTATAGCAAAGAGTGGGATCCCTTTGGCCCAACAGACCACCCGTTTGGCAAACCTGCTGATGCTGCTTTCACACGTCCGGCATGCAAGGTAAGATCATTTGGGACCTCAGGCCAGATGAGGCCCTTCTTTGAAACCTACGAGCCTTTTTTAAAAAATGGCTGGCAGTGAAACATGCTAAAGGCTAGGCTAACGTTAGGTGTTTGCTTCTGGATTTTTTCATGGATACTTGCAACGGCTCATGGCTGACATATAGTATGTCAAGTAAGGGCATAAAAATGATGACATTAATGCAATGGCATAAGACCTACTTGCTCCCTAAAAATCCTGCTGAGGGTACGAAAGAGCTATACATGTAGAAGTGAGGAGGAGGAGAGAAGCTGTTAATTGTTGTTGTTGTTGTTGTTGTGTTTTGTTGTTATGTGCCATCAAGTTGCCTCCAGCTTATGGCGACCCTATGACTCTCCCTATGAATGTCATGTCCTCAGTTGCCCTGCACAGATCTTGTAAACTCAACCCTGTGGCTTCCTTTAGGGTAGTGGTTCCCAGCCTTGGGTCCCCAGATGTTCTTGAACTACAACTCCCAGAAGCCTTCACCACTAGATGTGCTGGCCAGGATTTCTGGGAGTTGTAGTGCAATAACATCTGGGGGCTCAAGGTTGGGAACCACTTCTTTAGGGAGTCAGGTGTGCATCTCAAGGACAGGTAGGTGGCTGCAGTAGGGAATAGGATGTTGGTACAGGGTGGCCCTTTTGTTTGATCCACAAGGCGTATATGAGTTGGTGGAACCAGGACTTTGCCGCAGGACACAATATTTAGAGCAGTGGTCCCCAACCTTTTACGAACCATGGACCCGGTGGGGAGGGTCCATGCATGGGGGGTGGGGCACCCCCACTCACATGTGGTCATGTCATGGTGCACTTGCATGCGTGGGTGGGTGTGGCGTGCTCACGGGTAGGTGTGGCACGCTCGTGTGCATGTGCAGATGGGCAGGACACACTTGCAGATGAGGGGCACACTCGTACGATTGCATGGGTGAGCGTGGCACGCTCTCAGGTAGGCTTGGTGGGCTCACATGCATGTGCGGATGGGCATGGCGCGCTCATGGGTGAGCGGCATGCACTTGCACTCACATGTAGGTGGGTGAGGCACCTGTGTGTGCAGGTCGGCGGGCCCTATGTGCATTTGGGTGTGCATGGGGGGAGTGCGTTCAGGGGCATAGATCTGTCTCCAAGGCCTGGTCCTGCGAAGGCCACGGACCCATAGCAGGCCACAGACCAGGGACTGGGGACCCCTGATTTATAGGAAAACATGATATAGAGATAATTCTACCATTCAGTATTTGGAAAATAAATGGCAATACATCCCAACACTATTCACCTTCCTTTATTATTGAACACATAACTGTTCTCTCTCTCTCTCTCTTTTGTGGAGTCAGGGAGGAGAACGGCTGTATCTTCCTCCTTTTTGATTGAAGGCCTGTTCCCATGTGTTGTGTTGGAGTGAGTAGAGGTCAATGCTGCTTGCTCTAAGTGCCAAAATGGCCAGTTATGAGGCTGTCCACACTGGTGTATAGATCGTTACATGGATCACTGTTGGTACCGTTTGGATCTAATTATGGCATCCACATGTGTTTCCACTTAGATTAATCCATCCTGCCTCTTGAGAGCTGTCCCTCTCCTTTTGGGCACAGCGGTAGGGCATGCATTTTCTTTTAAAGATTCAACACAATCCTAATTAGCTTGCTGTGTAGCCTGCGCAGACAGCCCACACACAAATGGGTAGTGTTAACAGAGGAGACAAGCCTGTTACATATTGTGACATTAGAAGAGAGGGCAAAGAAATTCTCTATTTTGTGTGTTTTTTTTAAAAAAAATGTTTTCCTAACTCACACAGCAAAATTCTAATACCATGCGAGGCTGATGCATTGCCATTTTGATATGCAAATTAATTTATTGAAAAAGAAGAAGAAGAAGGAAAGTCACCCTAAGGTCTGAGAGAAAAGGTGGGGAAGGAGGTGCAGCTTCAGCAGAGCCCCTGCTGGGGGGAAAAGGCCAGGAAAAAGGAGAGTTCCTTCCTTTCAGTCTCTCAACCTTCACCCCAACGCTTTCCTCTTGTGTTGCAGCTGTCCTTGGCTGTGGTTGCCACTGCCTCCTTACTCGTGAATAATACAGGCAAACATACTGCAGCAGACTCATGGCTGGTGCAAGTAAATTTGACCACATCTCTCCAGTTCTGGCTCGCCTCCACGGGTTTGCTCATGGTGTCCCGGATTAGGTTCAAGGTTTTGACATTCACATACAAGGCCCTCCTTGATTTGGGCCAATGTTACTTGTCGGAGCATCTCTCCTTAATGTCCTCAGCCCGACACACAAGATCATCTCAGTTGAGGCTCCTGTGGGTGGCCACCCCAAGGGAGGCCCATAAATCCTCTATAAGAAGCAGGGCCTTCTTTGCGATGACTCCAACTTTATGGAACCAGCTTCTGGAGGAG